TCCTCGGGCTTAGTCTGCATTCTAATGTTCTCCGAGTCCTTGTTCAGCAGCTCCTCCTCCGCTGGCTCCGGACCTTTCCAGTTCTCAATGGCAGGAGCAAGAGTGGCCCGTTGTATGGCACGTGTTCCCAGGGGTTTCTCCGTGTTTGAATGGTTCACACACATCCGTGGGTGGGCATGTGCAGCCAGTGCATGGTGGGCCAGTTGTGTCATTGTTTCTCTGTGTCGTGGTAGTTCTCAATTAAGCAGTGGCAAGTGGCCTGAGGGCCGCTGCGCAATAGCGCTTGCCGCTGCGTGGCTTCCCCTGCGCCAGGAGCCCTCCTTCCAGGGGCCAACGAGGCAGGAACTGAGCCAGTTGGAAGACCGGCGCTCCCCGCCCATGGCTCCCCGTGCACAGGAGGCCCTCCCTCTGGGCGCCTACGAGGCAGGAAGCCAGTGGGCAGGAAAACGGCAGTCCCAGCCTGTGGCTCCCCGTGCAGTGGTGGCCCTCCCTCCGGGCTCATATGAGGCAGGAAGCAACCCCATACACCTGCTTATTTCTATAGTTCATCTCTCTCCTGACACCAACAGCATCCACAGTTAGGTCACAATTTGGGGAGGATGTCACTTGAAGGCAGAGTCTGGAAAATTCTTCTAGTCATGAAGTTTTTGCCTCTCAGTAGAATTCTGTGATGTCCAGTGTCATCAGAACAGAACCTTTGGGTCCCCATCATGGTGTATATCATGGACCAATCAGTGGAGCTGATTGACTGGTACTAGGAAATGACATACATGATATACATGTATGTCATGTATATCATGACTGACTAAGATTCTGCTCCCACAGCCCTTAGTGGAACTGACATCACTCTGTTCTTGTAGTTTAAAAGAGAAGGTTTTCATCATGAAACCATTATGAAATTGGAAAATAGGTTTCTAAATTGTTTGGTTGGATATTGTGTCTTGATTTCCCTGGTCTAAAGCAGATTATTCAGGTAGTGAAGAGCCTGTGCCACCAGTCTGCACAGCATTAGGGATCATGTTTGGTTACCACAGGAGGATGATCAAGGTGGGATGTGGTAAGGATGCAGAGGCAGAAGGGTTCCGTCTTTGGGCAATGAGAACTCAGAAGATTTGAGCAAGAGTCCCCAGATGGCCCTTGGAGACCAGTCTCTTCACACACGGTAGGATGGGGAGAGGAAGCCTTCCCTGCTGAGTACATTGCCCCTAGTTCTCCCTCTTCCCAGAGGCATGAAATGTATCTCAGAACTGTCAACCTTGTGTCTGGATATGGTGAAACCTGATCACTTCTTTATAGAAAGAAAACGTGGAATAGCACTAGTGCAGCATTTGGATTTTCTGTGCACTTGCTTATTTACAAATTAAGGAAGGATGAGGCTTCATACATTTATCAAGGATTGAGAGTGTTTCCCCTGAGGTAAGCACGTTGCTATTAGTGTTAAGGGGACACATGAGAAATCCCTTTCACAGGATGTGACTTCAACTTTTAACTTTGCTTTTCCTTTGGTGCCTGAGGGACAACACCTACCCCTGTATCCATGACCTCCTCTCTCATTGGTGGGGAACTGTTCACTCAGGTGCTGACTTCTGAGGTCTGTGCTTAGAAGTATTACCAGTGGTGCCGCTAGAGGGCAACCGTCTCAGCGTTGCATTTCCTATTCACAAGCTGCAGACAGTGCCTCTTCCCAGATGCCACTGAAATTCTTTATTTGTCTCTGCCCTTAGAGATACACCTGACCTGTCTTGTTCACCTTAAATCCTCAGAAATTAGTTAATAAAAGGTGTTCCACAAAATAAATCCTGTATAAATATGTTTTGTCTTTAACAAGCAGTTTTTTATTGCCTATTCCCTCCCTCCTATTTTGTGGGATTTAACTACACTTAGTTTCTTATATTTTTTACTGTTTCATAATGTAAATTTCTAGTAGAAGCAAAAACACACATAAGAACAAGCATTATCCTAGTATCAGTCAATCATCTCCAGTAATTACCAACTCAGGCTAATGTTGATTCATGTCTACGATCATGGTCTCCCCTGTTCTGGTCCTACTACCCAACCAATGATGCCTTCTGACTTATGATCTCATCCTAAGCAAAACCTGTACAAAAAAAGGAAAGGGATCAAGAGATGTATGGAGTTGGGAGGGAGAGAAGGGAATGGAGACCAAAAAAAGGAATTAAGATATGTTGTATACAAGTACCAACTCCCCACAAAGAATGAGGATATTATGTACTATGAAAATACTAATAAAGAAAATGATCTAAAAGCATTTTTAACCCCTTGTGTGTATCTCAAAAATATATGGACTGTTTTTAAAATATCAAAAATATCACAACTAACACCATACCAAATGCTAACAATAATTCTTTAAAGTTACCTAATACTGAATTAATATTTCTTGAATTGCTGTACAAATCCCCTAAATGATATTTTAAAGCTCATTTAAATCAAAATAAATTCTACACATTGTGATTATTTGACTTTCGAGTCTTTCACAAATATATTCAATTGCTTATGTCATTTGGCTGGAAAGATATTTATAATTTTATTTGGTCAAAACATTTGTTTATTGATTAATAAGTTGTGATATTCTTATTTATGGCAAAAGTTGTCACAGTGTTTCTCAGAAGAAAAGCTCTTGGTTTAGAAAAATGTGTTGATAAAGTCAATTTCAGGTTCAACATAAGAAGAACTGAAAACCTACCTCTACCCCAGCTGCAGCCAAGAGCCACCGGATGGACTCCACCCTGGCCCGGAGATTGAAGTAGTGAAGCACCGGCTTCCCTGCCATGTTAGTATCTCCTGGTTTCACTAAATGGGAGAATGAATGAAGGAATGAGTACACAGGAGCAAAATATTCTCTAGGATTATGGTTAGTTATCCAGCAACACAGAAGGGGGATTTCTCTTTTCAAGGAAGCATTGGAGAAGTGCCACGAACTTCTTTCTCCAAAATCTTACCCATCAGTAGCCACCATCTTGAAACTGCACCAAACTTAGGTGGTGGTTACCTACATTGTGAATGTGGAAGCAGATCAGTCTGGGTTACACTCTGTGAAAACTCCGTGAGCCAGGAAAGGCCCTTAGTACCCTAAAAGTCTTATACATGTAGACTTACTTGCAATTTTGAGACTAAACCCAGCCACTCTTTGACTTCACTACCACTGAAAAAGCAAGAAAAAACAAGAAGAACAAAGAGAAGGAGGAAAAAAAGGAAAAGGAGCAGCAGGAGATGGAGGGAAGGAGAAAGAGAAGTAGATCAATGAAACGCAAAGAAAAGGAGAAAGAGCAATAGCCTCCTACTTGATGACCAATGACAAAATAACTCACAGGAATATTAGAAACTGCATGTGAAATCAAGCTCAGAAGTCTTAGATTCAGATTGGCAGGTACCTATGACTGATTTCCAAGCTAAACATTTGTCTTCAAGAGGCAATCGCCCACCCATATCCTTTTTCTTTTCACTGCTAAATGGTTCTCCAAACACATCACCCTCCCAGATACAAATCCAGTATTACTGTGTGCAGACTCCTGCAGGAATCACTGATACCCCCTGCGTAACAGACAGCAGAGCTTTATCATGAGCTCTGCGCACCCCGGGTGCTACCGCGGCTGCATTCTTCCTTTTCTCATGTCAGCGACTATTCTGCCTTCACTTTGTAGGCTCTTCACTGTGGTGTTTCCTAACTAGCAAATACCCCAAGGCTTGAATTGTCTGCTGAGCACCCAGAAGGTGGAAGCCTAGGAAGTACTCACACAAAGTACCACCTTTGAGAACATTTTCCTAGTGCAACAGATGAGAGAACATTTATGACAATAAAAGAAGCAACACTAACCTGAGCAAAGTCCTGACTGCTCTCCCCTCAGCACCTCAAGAGAGCTCAGATGGGTGTGGTGGCTGCTTTAATACTGCAGCAGCCTTTCGGAGAAGGCAGGGTCCAGCAGGGAAGAGCCACTCCCTCTGCTTCCAGGCTCCAGAGTCCAAGGCAGATTAGGCAAAAGCAACAAATCATTAACCCTTCACTTCAGGACTATCTATGAATGCACTAAGGCACAACTCAGCTTCATTCACTTGCCCCTAAAGCCTTCCTATTTCTTTGAACTGTGCAAGAGTAATGACAGTGCAAAATGAAGAATGAGGACTGGGCCATAGAATGGTGTCAGCAAGGAGGTCTTGATAGAGGAAATTGGGAGATAGCAACGTACCTACCTCTGTAACATGGGCTACATTAGGAGTGCAGCTGCACAATTCTTGTGGCAACAGGAATCCGCTGGAAGTGCCCCAGCCCTGAATGGGACGACCTCGATTGCATTACCTGGAAGACGTGTGAACCCTTCTCTTCTTGGCTGCATTTTACTCTTTCTGTCTATTCTGGGCTTCACGTGTGCTGGTTTCTCTGCTAGATCGGCACCTCTCCTCTCCCCTCAGCCATCCTCTGCTTCCCTTATCATACTGTCCTTCAACGGTGGGTTTACGTCTGTGAGCCAGTGGAGGGCATGTTTGCCAACAATTGTAAACAATATCTGAAGCAAATGCAAAACTTTATTTTATTTTGTAACTAAATAATGTCTTTTAAGCTTTTTGAAATTATTGAGGCTACAGAAAAATTACAGAACTAGTAGAGTTCAAAATATCATGCTCCCAGTATCCTTTCATGAAAATATTTTATGTAATTTGAATACACTGGTCAAATCGAGGGGTTTCACACTGATATAATATTATTAGTTAAATATCACATCTTGCTTAGATTTGAACAATTTTTCACACAAGAGCCATTCTGTAGTGCAGAATGCCCTCCCAACACTGTATTTTCTTGCCATGTCTAACTAGTCTCCTCATTCTGTGGCAGGTCCTCATGCTAGACTTGTCTTCTATGATCTTGGCACTTTGCAAAAATGGAAGTCAGTCATTTTAAAGATCATGCCTGAGAGGGAGTCTGCCTGAGATTTTCTCATGACTTGATTGCAGCTATATTTTTCCTGAAAAATAACCCAGAAGTTAGGTTGCCCCTTTCTGTTTGTGATATCCTACCATAATATCATATTCCAGACATAATATGTTTCATTACTGGTGATGTTAATCTTCATCCTTTCACTAAAGTTATGTCTTCCAGGCTTCTCAACTGTTACTATTTATCCCTCTGGAATTAATAAATATTTTGTGGGAGATGCTTCATGACCATGAAAATATTCTCCTTGTGAATAAGATTCTACTCACTCGTTTTACCATCTATAATAGATCTTGCCAAGGGTAAATATTACTATGGTGTTTATCTGATAGTGATCTTCACTTTCCCTCACTCTTTCCACATTTAAGTTGGAATTCTATAGAGCAGAGCTATCCTTTTTCTTTTATTTGGTAATTTGTTTGTCTCAACCATTTACTTATACTAGGATAGACTTACAAATACTTTATTCTACTGTTGCAAAATATATTTTGATTGGCTAATTTTCCTTTGAGAGCTCCTTCCTAGTCACTTCTGTGTCCTTTATGGTAAGCCCCCTCCATGTGAGCATTTCCAGGTACTTTTTTTAGTGAAGATGTTGCTTCATCGTTTTTTATGGTTGATACATTGTGTCAATTTGGGGAGTCTAGAGGTTTGGCTAAGTGACTCAGCAGTTTTGCATCTTGGGGTAAAAAGGACTTGTCTTTATCCTTTCGGAATGTTGTTTATTGTGTCAATTTAAAAAGTTTAAAAGGTTAACTATGTGATAAAGCAGGGAGCCATGGCCTTTACTTTATATTTATCTTGAGCCTACACAAGAAGAAGGCATGCTCCCCAGGGTGGGTAGGCTGCCTAAAAAAGAATAAAAAAAAAAACCTGGCTGATGGTTCTTAGAGCTCCAGTCTTTGCCTTCAACTTGGTTGTCTCCTGGCCTCTGGTACAAACTGTTCAACTTCTGCCTGAGACTCTTCAGCCTCTCGTGTTAGTTCTCTGGCCTTCATCATAGATTCTTCAGCATTCCGTTGCAGACCTATCAGCTTCCTAATACACACACACACTACAGTGAGCCCCAGGCCCGGGGCTGGGCTCTTCAACCTCTGGTGTGCAGACCCTTTCTGCACACTTCTCGTCCAACTCTGTGGCTGATCATTGTAAGCCAAACTTATAATTTCTTATACACTTGTATATCTTTTGTTAGAACTGTTTCTTTAATAAACCCTGACTGATACAATCATCTTGATGTCTTTGCTCTAGCTCTGCTTTCTTCCACTTCTCAAATGATCCTCATTCCTATTTACTGGGAGAAAGTATTCAAATCTAGGAACTGGGCTCTGTGTGTAGCCATTGCCTCTGCAGTTCACACACTCCTAGGCCCTCATCTTGGGAAATGTGTATTAACCTACCACAGGTACTCCTCTACATATTTCTGTACCCAGCTGCACATTTCTAATTGCAAAGCATGAGTTCATAGTGATGCCAGCTATTTCAATTAAATGGATTTCTTCAGTCACTACACAGACTTCTTTCTCTGACAAGTGAGAAACATGACTGTGATATCTAAAAGGTCCAGCATTTACATATTTGTTCAGTCCTGGTACACATGAAAGAATATTAGGACTGCCGATGTGTACCGCCATGAGAAACAGATTCATTCTTCATACCCTGTACATTTGTATCTTGAGCCTTACACTAAGTCACAATGCTGTTTATGTCCTGAAACATTTACCTCACTGAGTTTCTCCCTGCCTTTCCACTATGTGATAAAGTTTTTTTTTTTATTCTTTTTTAGGCAGCCTACCCATTTTTAAAAATTTACCCATTTTTAAAATCTTGCTTAGGGTGTATTTTCTTATAATCTCTTGTTACTCACATGAAGATTAGCGTGCTTCATTCCTTTGAAATGCTGTTGGGTTTTCAGCATTTGTGGTACTCAGTTTGGGTTTGCCTCACATCCCAGTTTCTTTTAATTAATGTTATTCTATGTGGCACGCAAACTTTACCATGGCCTAAGACTCGGAGTTAAGAAAGCATTGTCCTTAGCCAACTGAGGTGTCACCCCTACTGTCCTGTACTTATTCCTTCTTCTTTCTTTTCGCTCCTTTCTTTCCCTTGTAGGGAGCCTACAACATTAATTTCTAATTTACCCATTTTTAAAATCTTGCTTAGGGTGTATTTTCTTATAATCTCTTGTTACTCACATGAAGATTAGCGTGCTTCATATAACCTTTTTGCTTTTTGTGTGGTGGTTATTTGCACTGCGTTATAGATCGAAGGAAACACCTAAAAGTTCACAAAGAAGTTCTTATGTCTTTGAACAGATGCAAAGTTCTTCATTGTTTAGTTCATGGTTCATGCCTCCCCTGCCTAGGTATGAGCACTGAGGTTGTTTCCAATATTTTAAAATTGCAAACAACACTGTGATGAACATCACTGTACGTGTGCATTTGTGTATTTCTAGAAGTGTGCTTTACTGTGTTTCTTCAAAATGTAAGCATGCTTTTGTGGCTATAACCATACAACCCTGCTCTAACCCTAAACACATATCATTGTCACATTTCATCGAATAGCTGTAATACAAATTTTCCCAGCTGCTTCATAGCAAAATACTTATAGCTGACTTATTTGCATCAGCGTTCAGACAGGTCCACAAAATGCATTTCAGTGATCTGAATAAAAGCATCTTATAGAAATGGAAGAAAAGGACAGGGTCAGGCTAAGTGTCCGAACCCGAGAAGTGCTCAGAGTCCAGACCCCCCTCCCCTGGTCCTCCAGGTGCTGCACCTGTGCACCAATCCGATATCCTCTTGTAATATGTGCTTAGACATAGCAGGTCGCAGCACATAGCACCATCTCACAAGACTGTGAAGGAGACACCTGGGCCAGCAGGTGTTTTCAGAACCCTTCTGAGGTTCAGCTGGGGAGTCAGAAGAGAGATGTGTGCTTCCCGGTAAGCCCCAAATTTGGGAGGTTCACAGTGTGGCCAGATGGAACTGGCAGGACAGGCCAGCAACATACCCAGGCTCACAGACAAGAGACTCCAAACAGGCAGGGTATGGATTGGTTTAGAGATCAGGGAGGGAGGAGGTGTGTGGAAAGAATTCCAGAGCACACACCAACCACTAAAAGATTTCAGGGAAAGCGGTGATATTCAGCTATGTGACTCAGAAAAACAATATGGTTGTTAAGTGAAGAAGAGCTGAGGGAAATTGAAGCTGGAGAGAACTTCTGGGAGGACAGAGGGGTGACCTCAAGCAATGGACTAGCACGGCATGTGGGAGATGTGTGAGGTGGTCGGGAAGCAGAGTTGACTTGGGCTGGGTCCACTTCAGGGAGTTGCAAGAGAGAGAGGCAAAATGAGGGTTGGCTTCTGGTCTGTCCTCCATGACACAGATGCTTGTCACCGCTGTGTGTGATGCAGGTTGGTGTCCTTCCATTTCCAGGAGCCAGCCCAGGGGTACAAAGCATCCTTTTCCACCCCCCTCCACAGAAGTCCCGGAGGAGCAGAAAAGGCTGGTCACTCTAGGGGGACACATCAGTTTCCTCAGGGGCCCTAAGAGTGGAGCAAGCTGCTACAGCACTCATCAAGGGTCCAGGGAGAGGCCTCTTGCTGGGCATCTGACCCCATATACATCTGTTTTCTGGGCATGTCCACCTAGCGGACTGTCAAACTGATCAAATGCCAAACTGAACTCAATTATCCATTCGCAAGTCTAGATGATCCCCACAGTCAACCTGCCAGTTGCCATTTGCTGGACACCTGCCATCCTCCCTGCCCTCCTCTCTAAAGTCTCCCTCATCTCTGCTCTGTATGTCTCGTGTGTCTTTGGACATCAGCAAGGGGGTACCTAGAATTTTGTGGACAGTCTCAAGACCTACTGCAGCCCTGTTGATTTGTGTCTGGTTTTTAACAAAATTCAGAGGTGACTCCCATTCCTGTTAAAGTTTGCTGCCCCGCTGGTATTACTCAGCTTTCCAAACA